CGAGGGGGTCAGCGGCACCCGCACCCCTCCACCACCATCTCCTGGTAGTTTTTCAGGACCACTTTGTCATACTCATCTAGGTAGAGCATGGAGATGGCGCTGAGCTCGGTGGGCACGCAGCACGCCTTGGGGATGCTGGCGTTGACGGAGTTGACCAGGGTCTGCACGATGGCGTGGTTGGTGGAGTTCAGGTGGTCGGCCAGAGGGAAGGGGCAGTCCCCGTGGCAGTAAAAGGCCTGGTACCCAGGCGGGGCCACGATCCAGTCGTTCCAGCCCACGTCACTGAAATCCACATAGAGCGCGTGGCGCCGGCAGTTCTTTTTGTTCTTGCGGGGCCGCTGGTGCTTGGGGCTGCGCTTGGCTCTCCGCACCAGTGCATGGCCCTTGCCATCGTGGCTGAAAGTCACCAGCAGGGGCCGCAGCTGAGCCCAGTCCCCGTCCCCTTGAGGTAAAGATCGGCTAATCCTGACGTGTTTGCCCTGATGCGCGGGCGTCTGGCCGAGGTGGACCACCTCCACCGCCAGGCCGTGGTTGGGCTGCTTGTCCTTGGTCCACCGGATGACGGCGGGGCTCACGTCGAAGCTCTCCCACCGCGTCTCGTTGTGATGCACCAGCCGCGTGTCCAGTAGTCTCGTGATCATTTGCCCCCGCTCCTCGGAGAGGGGCTTCATGACTTCATAAACGTTGATGCGGTGGAAGCCCCTCTCCCAGGCGGGGCTCTGCTCCCGGACCTGCTCCCGGTACAGCCTCAGCTCCGCCGAAGACACCACTTCGTTGTCAGGCACGCTGCTGAGGTTGAAGACGAAGCGAAGGCGGGGGGCGGCGCTGGGCCCAGACAGGTTCTCCAAATGCTCTGGGGGGGGCAGGGGAAAAGCAAGGTGGGCAAGAGAGCAAAGCACGTAAACCTCTGGGCATCCAGATCAAATCTCCCAAGTCAAAAAAATACAAAATCGCCCAGCCACTTGGGCTCTGAGCCTTGCTGGCTGAGAGCTACGGTTTACCCCCCACGCCCAGAAAACTGCATTGCCAAAGACCCAGGGTAGTAACATCCACCCCACCCCACCCCGTCCTGCCCGGACATACACACAGACACAAGACACACGTGCACAACTCACTCCTGCCTCCAAAACCCTCGTTAGCAGCAGTGGACCCTGCTGCTTAGCTTCTCAAGCAGCTCAGTTTTAAAGTTTTTTTGGAAACTGTTCTCCACCCCGCCCCCCCATAAGGATCTCTCTCAAAGGCTGTGCCATCACGGCAGGGAGGAGAGAGAAAACCCCACAGAGCGCTGCCTTGTTGAACCCATTACTGGAGGGGGGAAGAAAGTAAGTTTGAAGTCCGTAATGATGCTGGCGGATTAATAACGCAGATTTACTTTGGAAAAGAAACATCCGCTAGGAAACATTTGGATTGGATTACAAGGCCCCATTGAACCAACCTTACAAACGCGCAGCTGTAAGGATTACATTCAAGTCCTGATTTTTTTTTTTTTTTTT